AACGAGGGGCTGGTTCGAGGACCCCTCGTCTTTCTTCTTCTTCGGCACCTTGGCCAGCTTCTTTGTCAATCGGGCGAAGGCTTGGACGTCCATTATGTCACCTGCAAAAATGAAGGAAGGATTAGGGTCGAAAGAAGACAAGGAAAATTTTCTAAGTAACACAACAAGAGCCCTCGGTGAACAACCTCTGGCATTCAGATACCCTCGATCGATTCTAGGGTATTTTTCGTCCTTTTCCCCCGGAAGACGGTATCTTCGGAATCCTAACAAGTAGAGCTCCTCGGGCAGCGTCGCTTCCTTAATAGCAATTACTTTCTCAGAACCCGCGGGCTTCTCAATCAGTTTCCTTCCTGCCTTATCGAGGGCCGCATTACCTACCTTCGGGTGCCTTTTGAAATGATTATTCAAAGCCCTCGGGAATGGATTTTCAGCCAGCCTGATGTAGCAGAACTTCTCCTTCCATTCCTTATGGGAGGAGGGGGTCTCGGAGAACAATTTCCAAGTCGGGACCTGTTGCAGGTTGGCATATCCCCCGGCGTGTGAGTGGCCTCCCCGGCACAGATTAAAGGATAGGAAGAACTGGTCCAGTGTCGCTTCCACCTTCCGGCTACGACAGAGGGCCAGGAAGCCTGCCAAGTAATAATGGCTGTTCGGCGTGAGCTGGCATGGGGCTAGCTTCACAAATTTCAGATACTGCAGGACGAAAGGATGTAGGGGGAACCTCAGCCCTAGCTCCACGGACAAAGTGTGCACCGAGAAACACCCCTCCGGGGGGTCAGACAGCAAATCTTCCGGACTCGGCTCCACAACCTGCGCCGACGGTCCCACAAGGACCTGCAGGGCATGACACTCGGCACTCGAGACCGTGGTCTTCACCTCGAGGGCAGTGGTGTCCAGATAGGAGTGGCCCTCGGGAATCCCAACTGGCCGTCCCGCGTCGACAGCTGCCTGCTTCTTCTTTGGGGCAGCCCTCGCCTTCTTCTTCCTACCCTCGGCTACCCGGAGGGGTTGAACATCCAACGGCCGAGAGGTGCTCGCCTCACCAGCTCCCCGTGAGGGCATGACGGCAACCGTTACCCGGCGGCGCTCCTTCTCCTCCTCCTCTTCAGCCACTTGGAGGGCGATGGCCATCTCTTCATCCTCCGCCACTTGTTCAAATTCTTCTGCCTCCATTTCTACCCGAAGATTGCTCTGCACCTCCTCGGCTATGGCGAGGTCATTCTTCGTCGAGGGCTGGTCGCTCGAGGACTCCACCTCAGAATGGCTCGCGGTCCCTACCGACGACTCCCTCGAAATGTCTTGCGAATCGCTTTGAGAAGACATCTTACCCAAAGAAGGTGTTGGAGGGTGTGAAGAGAAGATACTAATCGGGAATTCTAGCCGAAGGCTACTACAGGCCCTAACAGTAGATCTAAGGCTACGAAGCAAAACTTACTAAGTAGGCGAAGAACAGAAGAAGAACTGACCTTAGAAATGAGGTTTGATCGAAGCAAGGACTTTCTCTCTCTAGAAATTTTGGCAGAGCTTCGCTATCGCATAAAAACGCACAAGGGAACTGAGCTCCGCCTTGGGGTATTTATAGGCCTTCAGCATCGAGAACTGGGCCTCGATTTGAAAAGGCCATCATTACGGGCCGTCGGTTCAGCCAATGGGTGGTACCCGCCCACCTTCGGCCAACTGGAGCACGCCACGTGGCTACCACCTCCAACGGCTATGTCACAACGGCTCTATTTTAGAACCTCTCGAGGCAACCATTGACGATAGCCTTCGGCTATTACTAATGAAGCCTTCGGTGGACACATATCACCAAGTACCCTCAGGCAAACTGCGATATAAGCCTCTGGTTATCACTCACCGCATCCTTCAGTCAACAAGTTCCACCAAGTGCCTTCGAGCCCGTAGCAGCATAAGCCTTCGGCTTATCGATGTTACCGGCCCTCGGGAACTCACCAACACATCATAACTCCTCCAGCCCGAATATACTTTCGGCCTAAAGGAGTGGGGGACTGGGATACACCCCTCGGGAGTCACACTGAACAAAGTTTCTCACATAAGCAAAAACTTACTAGTGACATGCAAGTGAAACATGAAGCCTTCAAGCAGACATTACAGGGGAACCCCTCGGGGCACATAACTCAATATACCCTTCGGCAACAACGAAATATCAAAAGTTTCCCACAAGCCACTTGTGGCAATGAAGGGCCCTCATCACAATACATGCAGACAATACATCTATGCTTTCCTCAGAAAATCCTCGACATGTGAGGGACTGAGGAAAGCCTTCTGCGGTCATACAGGTGTTATACTGCCCTCAGAAAACCCTCGACATGTGAGGGACTGAGGGGAGCCCCCGGCGAACATATGAAGGTTGTGAATACCTTCCCTCAGAAAACCCTCGACATGTGAGGGACTGAGGGAAGCCTTCGGCAGTGGACAAAGTTCTCCAGCAAAAGCACCCAGCGAAATGATGAAGCCTCCAGAAGAAGCAACACATCTACTCCTTTTCCCTCAAGTACCTTTCGGCAAAAGGAGTGAGGGACTCCTGATGGAGTATATGGCCCAGAAACCCCCGGCCCGTAGACTCCCACTTCTCCTACACAAGTCCATTGAGCTCAGGAAACAACTCAGGCCCAAAAGCAACGGCCCAAGCCCCAAAATAGCCCGAAATACATACTGGGGGTGCCTTCGGCCTCCCTGGCCGAAGGCTCCAGAAACTCACGAAGTAGCCCTCTCTGACATACGAAGCCACTGGGAGAAAACGGCGAAAAACATGAGCCTTCGGCATTACCAAGCCCTCGGCATCAGGGGAGCCTTCAGCTGAACTTAGCCCTCTGCCACTCGGGGCCTTCGGCTACACAGGGGTCCTTGGTTACACGGAGCCTTCGGCTACACAAGAAGCCTTCGGCCAAGCATGCTCAATCATCGAAGATTCCTTTTGGGGACAGCCAACCACCGCATTTAATGCCACGTCACATCCGCCAACCGCATTCAATGCGGTGAACGTACCACTGCCGGTGCCACCAGGCTGATGTGACCCTTCGGCCGTTGGATTACTGACACGTGTACTCTCATCGCATTTATTGCTGCTATAAATAGCAGCCCATTTCTCCTTGTAATCGACACGGTCGACCTCTCAACTCCACATCTCGAGTTCGTTTAATAAATCGACTCTCTCTCCTCCTATTTGCTCTGACTTCTCTCTAGTTATTCCCGCAATAACCCCTCGGATAAGATACCCCCCGGGTAGACTGTCCATCAATGTATAACTTAAAAAAAAAATAAAAAAAAACAGCTCCCAAACGGCTATATAGCCGTTGGGGCTTTGGGTGGGGGGCAGGGGGGTCCCGGGGGTGGTGGTGTGGGGAGTGGGGTTCAAAAACATCTATAAATACATCTATTTTCTAAAATTTTTCTACACCTCTTCTCCATCTTCATCTTCTCTTATTATCCTACATTCCTACTTATACATATACCATTTTAAAGATGGAAAGTACATCTTCTCTTATGCAAAACAATTTTGATAAGTGGAAGGACCCAAAAACCGGACTGTGGTGGGCAACTTGCAAGTGGTGCAAGAAAGAGTGTAGCTTGGGGCATTCACACGGATACGGGATGCCAATAAAACATATGAAGTTCTGTGACAAAGGGAAAACAACAACCAACGGTGACGGAAATCTCAATTGATATTTATTAGAATATGTATTTCATATTGTTATTTTTTTCTCAATTGTCAAATGTAGTTCCTATTTCAAATAAATAAACTTGAACTTTGTTTTTAATAGGAATTTGTATAATCTATAATAATTTTAAAAAAATTATGAACCGGCCCGGCCCGGCGGGTGGCCCGACCCGTGACCTGGCCGGGTGACCCGGCCCGAACCGGAACCGGCCATAGCCCGGGCCGGTCCCAAGCCAACCTCTACCAGACCCGAGGCCCGGCCCGGGCCCAACCCGGCCCGGGTCCATCACTACTCATTCGGATGAAGAAATAATAGCGGATTTTAAGGATTCATGATATGATCAGTAATAGAATCATCAAAATGTTATGAAGATCGTGTAGAAACCATGATGGAAGATAATCAAATGTTACAAAAGAGAAGACTAGTGCTGGACTCGGGCCGGTTCGGGCCCGGTTCGGGCCTGGGCCCGGCCGGGCCTCGGGCCAGGAAAGGGAGGCCCGAGCCCGAACCGCCGGTGGCCGGTTCCGGGCCAAACCGGGCCGGGCCGGGCCGGGCCGGGCCGAACCGGCCCACTTAATTTTTTTTTTGTTCTCCTATTTAATCCCCTACCCCTCCCCCTCAACCCCAAACCATCCCAAACCACCTCAAATGGCCCAAAATACCTAATCCAACCTAAAACTTAAAAAAATTTCAAAAAAAAAAAAAATTAAAATCCGGCCCGGACCGGGCCCGAACCGGCCGGGCCGGTTCACCAAAACCTGGGCCCGGGCCCGAACCGCCCAGCAGCCGGGCCAGGCCGAACCGAACCGGTGGACCCACCGGGCCCCGGGCCGGGCCAAACAGTAACCGGGCCGGGCCGGGCCGGTTCCGGCCGGGCCGCCCGGCCCGAGTCCAGCACTAGAGAAGACTGGATTTTGATTTTCAGTGAAGAAGAATAAAAAAGTCTAAAGTATTTCACTTGATACCATATTAGCAAGAACTTCTAGAAAAAGTTCTGATTCAATTACCCTCTGCTATGAAGAAGATATATATAGAATTACTACGTACAATAGTAAGTTACTAACTAACTAGTAAAGCCTTAAATATTACAATAGAAAAGATTAAAACTAATCATGTACTCTAAAGTCTAAAACAAACAAGTAAGTCGGCAAATTCACAAGTCCCGCAAAATTTTATCGACTTCATTATTTAGCCATCCCAAAAAACTTATCATTTCCTTTGAAAGTAATAGATATACCCCGTATATTCAAAGTTACGGAGTATTTATCTTTCCTCTACACAATTCTCAACTACATAAGTTTTTCTTTCTTATTAAGCTTGCAAATCAAGTTTGATCAAGTTTTATGGGACGGTGGGACAGAAGAAGTATAAAATATATTCAAACTTACAAGAATATAATCAATGAATATCTCTGATACAATAATAAATATGCTAGTAATAACAATTTACACTAAACAGATACAACACTCAAGAGTCAAAACATCAAAATATTTAAGCACCTTAAGCGTCTACACCAAGAAGGGGCTAGAACTGACACAATTAGAAACTAGAAGTGCTTCTGATGTATTTTGAAAGGGAAGCCGATGGTTCTGGCATGAAGTCCCAGGTTAGCTATGTACTCCGTATATTACAAAGGAGCCTATCGCCAGGTAAGGAAAAAGAATCTTATGCTCCTAGTGTTGATTACACCGCCTACTAGTTTTCAAACTATACAATTTAAAAACCAATATGCCTGTGAAATTTCAAGAACCGGTCATATATGAATATGGAGACTAACTACAGAATAAAGATTCATTTAAAAATCATTGATCTGAAGACATTTGCAAAGTATGCTCCCCTTTTCTCCAAACCCGTCTTGGATATCTGATGTTCTTTGGATCTTGACTGAGATAAGATCCAAACTGACTATTAAGTTCTGAGGGTTCCAATGATAGTTTTTTGCGAATGAAGTTGTCTAAGTTAAAGCCACTGGCAGCAGTACCTACCGTTCTGCCATTGCTATCTGATTCTTCGCAGTTAGAAATATCATCACTTCCTGATGCACTTCTTGAAGCATACGCGGTCTTGTAGAAAGAATTCTCACCCAAGTTCAATACTCTCTTTAAACGGTCAATAGCTGGATCAATGATGTGTAGAAATCCCATAACCCATGATTCATCATCAACAACATCAATACGCTGTCACTCATTGAAATTTGAAATCAGATATCAGTTCTGATTCTAAAGAAAACTGTTCTTGGTTAAAAATATTTAGAAGAAAGAACACACATGTGACAGAGAGTGGCAAGTTTACTGCTACAAGGACATCCGCCCCAGTCAATTGACAAAATGAACGCATGCTTTCTAATTGTACAAAGAGAACGAGCAACCTACCTAACTAATGAAGATGATCCATTCTCATTATCCATGTCATACCTGCTGAAAATAAAGGTTGCGAATTTCCTCGGCGCGCACAGAATTCCCTTGCTCTTCCTCCAAATTTGCCCACGTCTTCCATGTCACAAAGCTTTGAGAATTAACGTTCAGAGACGATCTAAATAATCTTCTAGCTGCGGATAAGTTACCAACCTTCTGCTCCAAAACACCCCAGGCCTGCAAAAGAACAAAGATAAATTCCTATCGGCACAATTACCACGAATGATCATCCTTAAAGTGTTCAGTTGGTCATCTCAATCAGAAAACAACTATCAACATACCAATCGATTTTCATCCATCTAGTACCAATAATACTTTCTTCAGTGCACCACAGAAAGGCCATCAATATATTACCACTATTGTAACTCCAATGAGAGTGTCCATTTCACAAAATAACAATTACTTCACCTGAAGGCAGCGACCAGCATTTTCATTTGTTGAATTTATTGATAACACTTTTTGGTATAGTTCCCTTGCAGTTGAAATATTTCCTTCTTTCCACTCCATCCAGCCCCAAGCCTAAGTTGAGAACATTAAAATAAGTGGAAACACTATGGAAACATGTGTAAACTACTAAACTACACTGTTATGTAGCAGTAAATATGGAGATGTATTAACAGAAATCAAGAACTAAAAAATGAACATAAGATGTTGTAACAATATTACTTGACTGAAATGTGGTTGAAGATAAACAACATGCACTAAATGGTCCAAGTAATAAGCTATTTCATTTTTTTGTACAATCACAAAGAATATAGTTGAGATATGATATGATTGGTGCCTTGGTGGTATCATTCTGAGATTCTATCATTGATGAGGATATATTATGTTACTAATTAGGATGTCATTATATGGAATGTTATTATTTCTAAAGAAGGAGAAAATATGTTTATGGACATGCTCGTCTTCGTGATCGGATGACTCAAGACATTGGAAAAGTTAAGTGTGTGTAGGATGTTGATATAAGGAAATAAAAGAGATGGAATTCGTACTTCAATATATTGTTCAATGGGAATAAAGCACAATGTATTGATGATCTTACTATACCATATTTTATGGTAAATCGAGAATTTATAAGAAGGATCCAAATGAGAGAAGTCAAAAAGGCTCTAAGGAAGATGGGGCAGAAGAAATCAGTGGGTCTAAATAACATACCAATCGAGGCCTGAAAAAAGAAGTGTTATCACATTTTTAACTAGAAAATGTCAGCGAGCTGACCGAAGAGTACTTATATCGCCGTATTTAAGAATAAGGGTGATGTACAAGAATGTGCAAACTATCGAGGGATTAAGATTATGAGTTACACGATAAGCTTTGGGAGTGAGTGATTGAGAAAGAGCATTGAAGAAGTCTGAAGGTTTCATAGAATCATTTTGATTTTTATGTTTGGTCTCTCAACAACTGAGGTCACTCACCTTATTCCTTGTGGAGAAGTATTGAGATACGAACAAAGCTTTGAATTTGGTGTTCATTTACTTAGAAAAGGCATATGATAGAGTATCTCGAGAAGTCCTTTGGTGGGTCTTAAGTAGAAAAGACATCACGTAAGTATATCAACATCATCATAGACATGTATAGATATGTATGAGGGTTATATTGCAAGTGATTGTAGTAGTGTAAGGAGGACCGCAAAGTTTCTATTACTATCGGAGTACACAAAAGATCAACTTTGAATCATTTCTTATTTGTTATAGTCATGGATGAACTCATGAAGACAATTTCAGAAAATATATCATGGCATGGTGTATGATGTTTGCCGATAATATTGTGTCATTGACGAGATGACAGTTTTAGAATCTATACACTTGTCCCTCTTCCATCACAGGAATCTACAGTGGATTGTTGTAGATCCTTTTCTATTAATGTTGACACATATGGCCAGATTTAGATACGTTTAAACTTTAAAGCCTAATGGTGACTAAGGGCTATACTGAACAACTTAATATCGATTATGGTGAGACAATCTCCCCAACTGTCTAAATGCCCTTTTTTGTCTGTCTCTATCGGCCACGTGTGCATGGTCATTGCCTCAATCAGACATTAAAAAAGTGTCTTTCTTGAAGATTTGGTAGAACATGTTTACATGGAACAACCACCTGGATTTGTTGCTCAGGGGAGTCTAGTGGATTTGTATGTAGGCTTCGTAAATCCTTATACGACCTCAGACAGTTTTCTCAAGCACAGTTTAACATATTCGATCATGTTCTCAAACTGTTCGGTGTAATTCGTGGTGAAAAGATCACTCAGTACTCTATCAAAATTCTTCCTCTGGTCAATACATATACATTTATCTTCATGTATTTGTCAATGATAATGTCATTAATTCAATAATCAACGCGGAGTTATGCATATTGATCAACATTTATTCTAACATTTCTTGACAAAAAACTTGGGACCTTTAGGCAATATTTTTGGAATTGAAGTAGCATGGTCACCATCAGGCATTACCATTTCAAAGAGCTTGTATGCTCTAGATATTCTGCAAGAGACTTGAATGCCAGACTTCTAGCCTTTTCATACTACGATGGATCCTAATGTTAAACTTGCATCAGATCAACAAGTCATATCCACGAAGATATCGAAGACTTGTAGGCAAGCTGAAGCATCTAACCATGACTAGAGCATATATATCTTTTGTAGTAGTGTTCTCCATCAGTTTCTTAATTCACCTCTTAACAGCCATTGGGATGTTATTGTTCACATCTTGCCATCTTGTACATTGAAGAGTCTCCTGGAAGAGAACCGGCCCTTGAAAACGTAATGAGCATAAAATTATTGATGGAAATCATTTGTCCTAGGCCATATTTTCAACAGGTTTATTCAGCCATCCCAGCCAGTGAATATTCAGATTGGGTTGGATGTCAGATAGAAAGTGAACTTCAAGTTATTGTGTTCTCATCGGAGGCAACCTTATATTTCATAGAAGAGTAAGAAGCACAATGTTGTTTGATAAAGTGCAGAGGCAGAATGCAGAGTCATGGTTCTTAGTCCAAGAGAGTGTTACGAGCGTGGTTGGGAGATAAAAAAGAAGAACGATAATTATGATAGTTGGAAAAACAACCCAGCTTCCCGCCCTAGGCAAGGAAGTGTCCGTCGGTTCCACCGAGCGTACAAGAAGAATTATTCTCTAGAAGATTCATGATTTATTCATTAATATGGCACCTCTATTTATACTAGTCCCAAGAGTCTTGGAGGTCTAGTATTAGAGTAACCCTAATTATATTACAATACTTTTATTAGGAAATTGACTAAAATAGAATATCTCTACTAATAGGAAACTGCAACTAATAATAACCTTAGGAAACTAACACCTAATACTTTAAGAAACTTACTTTAGGAAACTACTGATAACCTTAGGAAACTAACACCCAATACTTTAGGAAACTTACTTTAGGAAACTAATAATAATAATGAATAATAAAGGTAGTAATAAACTAATAATGAGCTTCTTCTTTCCATATCATTACTCCCCTCTTGAACATCAAGCTTGTCCTCAAGCTTGAAGCTAATAGCCCACGACAACCAGTCTTTCCACGATCAAACGGCATTAATATATGATCAATCATCACCATGTTGGTTGTAGCCGCATGACTATGAGTAATGGCCCAATGTCCCCATATCTGGCCACATTCATCAAAATTTCTTCTTGCTAGGAAGGTCCCTATAATTCCTTGCAACTTGGTTGTGGGCAGCAAATATGCAGGAGGGAAGGATGAAGGTGCCAACACCGGTAATGTCAGCTCCACGGGGGACAGCAAGAGTGTTGTTGACAGTGATAGATGGGCTTGTTGCAAACAAACTTGCTCTGTTGGCAATGACAAAATTGGTGGTGGTGTGGCTAAAAATGACTGCTTATCGAACAATAACCTTAGGAAATTAACACCTAATACTTTAGAAAACTTACTTTAGGAAACTACTAATAACCTTAGGAAACTAACACCCAATACATTAGGAAACTTACTTTAGGAAACTAATAATAATAATGAATAATAAAGGTAGTAATAATGAGCTTCTTCTTTACATATCAGAGAGCTTTTGCGGTTCAAACATCTTTTAGAGATAAAGTGTTGCAAAGTTGAGTCGATGAAGCTTATTTGTGATAACCTAGTAGCACCGGGACGGAAACGGTAACAGAAGCCGGGATGGGAAACTCTAATTTCAAAATATCATGTTACGGGTACGGCACTAAAACGTTGCAATTAAAATTAAAATTTTAATGATAAAAATGAATAAGCATTAAGTGAGGTCACGTTTACGTGCATAAAAAAAGAAATAAATAAACCAAACATTTGACTCATTTGACACATATGCACTAACTTCATAGAGAGTGTTAAGATATGATATGAAAATGTGATGTTTAATTATTTCACCGATTCTTTCCCTAAAGTCAAGGGATTTACTTTATTTTTATATTATAATAGAGAACTTGAGTAAACAAACTATCAAGTCATTCTGATATTATTTCATGTCTTCTACAATAAGGAAAAACATTTTTAAATAACAATTAGTTCTTTCGAATAATCATGGTATGATTGATTATTTGTTGATCAAGTATACACATAATTCTCCACCACCCTTTTTTCCTAATTCCCTGTCTAGTTTTGGGAATAAGGCTTGGATGATGTTGTTGTCCCTGCCTACAGAATATTTCAAATTTTCACGCTTGAGAATTCCTGAAGTTTGTTTTCTTAACAAGAAAAGGTCAATACTTAGGTTCCATTTCTGTTTTTAGTGTTATTCTATGTGAGCAATCAATATAGATTTACTTCAAGATATACAACTTGCTTTTGCAGTGTCCAAGACATACAGCTGCTTGATCAGCTGCACCTAAGATGTGCCTTTGTTTTCTGCAGTAATCTTTTTTATTCAGAGTTCACACAGGTTATCGAGTACTACTACTAGTTGAACTAAATCTGGATAAACAATGAAATCCCGGATGTTCATTAACCACTGTCAGTCAACACTCTTGGTTATGGATGGATATAACATCAACAGAAGAAAAAAACATAGCATTGTCCAAAAGAATAAGAAGTAAAAGCTCACATTCCAAACTGGCTGGTGCCTTGGATCTAATTCGGAAGCTCTTTTGAACAACACTCTTGCAAGACTCGTATTCGAGTTTTTGTATTCTAACAAAGCAAGTGATTGAAGGAGAACAGGGTCTCCAGGATTTAATATGTAGCCTATCTGCATAAGTTTCCTTCCTTGATCAATATTTCCCAAATTGACTTCGAAGGCTCCCCAGACATGCCATGCAAACCTGTTTTTTGGACTCGCTTGAACTGCTTTCTGTATTAGGAGATGATAATTCAAATACATGAAATAAGCTCAATCAGCAAAAAGAAATCAAATACTAAAGCACCAGAAGAAGAAATGAAACTAGCACCATGACGATAAATTTTTCAACATTCTACAATAATTCTACTGCCGAAAAACAAATTCCAATATATACACAATTACACACCTCTAAAAGCTTCCTAGCTTCATTTGTATTTTCTGACTGTGCCTCTAGCTGAGCCCAAGCCTAGAAAAATATAGAAAGCAGATCCGCCATTTGCAGTTCATCAAAATAGTAAACACATAGCAATATGCAATTTCTACTACACTTACAAGCCAGCTTGCACAACTCTTTGGGTTACATTTTGTTGCCTGCTCGAATAAATAGCGGGCTTGTTCATATCTCTTTGCCTTAGCTTCAAGCAGTGCTAAGGTCTGATATATGTACTCATTCCCACCAGAATATTTTAGGCTTTTTCCAAGAAGATCCCGTGCCTTGTTGATATTTCCCTGTTTGATCTCTAATATTGCCCATCCATGCCACGCTGCAGTATGCCTCTTGTCAGCAACTGTGGCAGCATCAAATAATTCTCTAGCTCTTCTTATATTACCCATTCTACATTCCAGAACAGCCCAACACTAGTCCAAAAAATAATGATTTAGTGATATTCTGATACACAGCACATCTCAGTTGCAAAGGCAGTATGCCATTTTTGGTGAATAAATGCAAGTACCCAAACTCAGGAGCACCACAAGTTTGGCACTAATAGTCAACCCCATTAAAAAATGTCAGTCCGAGATTGCATATATCTAGGGATCAGTGTAGGTTGGAACATGCCTACGCAAGCACCAGGAGATTTTCCTTTGGAGGGATGACCACCCACATGGGCTACAAAGGTCAGAGTATATTGAACACAAATTATGAGGTTTGTTGAGCTATATCTGGATTTCCACTGCACTTGTAGCCAACTCATGTAAGCAAGACATGCTATATCTTGCTATTTTCATCTATATCACATCATATACAATGAAACTCTAGTTTTATATTTCCAATTTAGAAGGCTGTTAAGAAATGTGATCACTAGATCCAGGATTTCAGATTACGCTAACGAAATTTCCAGTCATCAACAACCTCAGGGATAAAATCTCCAAGCATATGGTTATTAAGTTCACAACATGTAAGTAAAACAAAAGTGTACGTTTTCCTTTAGGGGAAGGATAACAAAGTTATAGTACTTCACGGTATGAAGTAAACTCTCATTGTGGATATTGCTTGAACACTTGTGCATTTCATTTTACTGAGCAAGTCACATGACAGTATTCATGATTCCATATTACAATGCCACTATTTAGAAAGGTAGGCTTAGAAAGTTTAGCTTGCACTGTTTAAGAATCTGTTATCTTATAGGATTAAGTCATTAACAGTTAATTGAACTTCATTTCCCATCAGAAGGTTCGTGACTTTGTTTTCTCAATTGTGCATAGAACTTCAGGGAAAATCCAGATAAATCACCTAATATAGAACAAACTAACCTGCCAAATGTATGCATTTTCTCCTTGTGTTGCTTGGCAACCTTTCTCATACACCGATATGGCTTCACTCACTTTTGATTGCTTACTTAAAATCTTGCCTAAGGCCACATATACCCTCCCATCTTCTGGCCAGTAATACATACACTTCAAGCATAAAGAATTGAATGAGCATTGGGCACCAGGAAAATCTTGCAATGTTTATGGGAAAACAAGTTACTGTAGCTGCAACAGTAAGGGAAAGTACCTTCTGAAGTATATCTTCTGCTTCTCTATACTGGAATTTCCGTGCCAATACTTTTGCTTTGTACAAGGACAAGTCCAAATTCACTCTCAGAAGCGTCTCTGCAGGAGCCGATTCCACCCTGTCAGGCTCAAAAATTGAAATCTTCTCAGCTAATGTTGAGAGCCCAGCATCAATGGAAAATAGTGAAGATGACTGCTCCTCAGGGAGAGCATCACTCTTTTGATCTGAAATCTCGGCATCACATGCATCTTTATCCTCTCCTTCAAGTGAGGTCTCCATTACTGGCCTGCGTACGACAGGTAACACTTCTGAGGACTTTTTTGCATTTTTAATCTCTTCAACAATGTCATCGCTGTACAATTTATCTCTCGTGCTAGCCTTTGCTGAAGACGCTGAGGAGTCTTCTGGCTGCTTGTGCAAACATAAGTGGGGTAAGAGAGAGTGCGAAGCAAGAGCCGGATAGAAGGATTTCGAGGAAATAAGAAAACGGTATTTCACTTCCTTGGTATGACGAGGATGCTGAAAGAGATGGAGCTGGGAGCTTGAAGAAGATGAAAAGCAAAACTGATCCATTTCTTCTCCACCTGTACCTATATCAACAGTGAGGCAAACTCGGACCGAAATATGAGGAGGTAAAATGAGATTTATCACCCATTAAGCACAGGGCCAGAGAGAGTTTTTGGCATTCTGTGTAGAACTGTATATCTGCGAACAAATATACATATTAACTTTTTTATAAGGAAAACACACAAAATTAATTAATAAAAATCTTTAAAAATTCTTTCAAAAAAAAATCTTAAAAATTGTTTATTAGAACTTTTAGTTTTTTATTAATATATTATATTCTATCTTCATTGAGAATCTTTTATCCCAGAACTGTGAGTACTTGTATTTTAATTTCAAAAGGGAAAGGAGTCAGATAAGCTCTCGAACTTACATAAAAAGGTCAAATAAGCTCTTATATAGGAGGCTATGTCCGTCCGTCGCCATTTGGGGCTGTTCCAAGTGGATTTTTTTGATGAAATTTTTTGAACATCTTATTCATTAAGTCTAGTTTACTCATATCAAATTTCAGCTAACAATTCAATCGGGAAGACATTCAAATGAATTCTTGAAAATAACTGCGCAGTAAAAGCGCACTTGAACTAATGTTGATGGTTGGAAAAAAATGCCAATGTTTTTATCAGAATGCGAACTTGAACTAATAATGTCATCGATATTAAGGGCATTTTCAAAGGAAAATATGACATTTTTGAAGAGTAATAACGCAACCTTGATGACATTTTTGTATAGTTTGAATTTTTTTAACAAAGAAGAAATAGAGCTTCTCAAACTATTCATTGGAGATCTACAACGAGCTACTTCACTACGGCCATCAAATCCAAATTCGCTACACATGGACACTCCCTCATGGTTGTCGTTGCACCTATAATTAAGTTCGCCATCTTACAATCAGAAAAAGATGACGAACGGACCAAAGAGAAAATGAGCAAATCGTAGAAGCTGTTGAGCAAAGAACAAGTAGATGAGTGATGCTTAATTGCTACTACACACGATTGAAAAATAGAAGAATGGTACATTTGAAACAATAGTCCTATTTAGGGATACAAATAAACCTACTCATATTTGGAAATTTAAGCAACATTTTACTCCTATTTAGGGCAATAACTTGTTGTTGAATGCACCTTGTTCATGAAACTCTTTTTTTATCATGAGAACTATTTTTCACCTGTTGATTTTAGTTTTTAAAATTGTTATAACTTTTTATTTATATTCCAATTTTTCTAAATAATATATCAAATTAAAAAAATATAATCTTTTAAATGGTTTCAATATTGCACATGTAAAAGTTTTAAAAAAAATCCATGTTTAATTATCTTTTTTAACCTGATTGTCTTAAAAAATTATAGATGCCATAAGATATTGTCACGCGCAAGGCAAGGAGGGGTGGGGTGAACAAAATCAATATATTTTATATAGTGCATCAACATTATTCTTCACCTAATCACCTCCACATAAATGTAGCAGTACGTTGTCATCAAGCATTTCAAAAAGAGAAAAGTGTCAAATTGGCCCCCGTACTTTGTACGGAAAGTCAATTAAACCCCCGTACTTTAAGTTTCGTCAATTACGTCCTCGAACTTTGAAATTTTCGTCAAAATCGACTTTTAGCAGGTAACCCACTGGTCAGCAGGTTACCTGCTGACGTGGCGCGCACATGGCACACACGTGTCCTAACATTGTGCACACGTGTCACGCCACATCAGTTTTTCTGATTTCCCCCCTTTTTCTTAGTCCTTTCCTTTTTTCTTTTTTTCTTTTCCTCCTTTTTCTTTCTTTCTCTTCCCCGTCCACCTTTCTTCCTCTCCGGGCATTGAACGCAGTTGCCGCCGTAAACACTAATCGCCAAAAATGGCGGCTGCTTGAAAAATTAAACTAAAAATGTGAGGAGGTGCGCCTGTTCACGGGGACCTCCTTTTCATATTTCTTTTTGGCCGAGCCCCAATGTAACACCCCGGCCCCACCGGACCCGAGGTAGTTACTCCGGACAAATAGTACTGTCCCCACAAACCACCACGAGCCTTTACCGCGCACTTTGTGCTCACTTATGCGCGCCCTGAGAAACTTCCCAGGGGGTCACCCATCCCAAGACTACTCCCGTGCTAGCACGCTTAACTTTGGAGTTCTTGGGTGATGAGCTCCCTTAAAAGGAGATGCACCTCTATTGGTATGAGTAGTACTATTAATCCGTTTATATTAAATCTCAAGTGTTACAATCACCCCCACTTAGGAACGCAACGTCCTCATTGCGCCCATAAACCAATCTCAAATCTCAATCAAATCCCAGAATCTTCCCCCGCTAAGTGCCCGCCCGATATCCAACGGGTCAACACACTGTCGCAGGGTTGCTCTGATACCACCTGTAACACCCCGGCCCCACCGGACCCGAGGTAGTTACTCCGGACCAATAGTACTGTCCCCACAAACCACCACGAGCCTTTACCGCGCACTTTGTCCTCACTTATGCGCGCCCTGAGAAACTTCCCAGGGGGTCACCCCTCCCAAGACTACTTCCGTGCTAGCACGCTTAACTTTGGAGTTCTTGGGTGATGAGCTCCCTTAAAAGGAGATGCATCTCTGTTGGTATGAGTAGTACTATTAATCCGTTTATATTAAATCTCAAGTGTTACAATATTGTAATACCCGAGATTAATATAAGAGGATTAATAGTACTACTCATACCAACAGAGGTGCATCTCCTTTTAAGGGAGCTCATCACCCAAGAACTCCAAAGTTAAGCGTGCTTGCACGGGAGTAGTCTTGGGATGGGTGACCCCCTGGGAAATTTCTCAGGGCGCGCATGAGTGAGGACAAAGTGCGCGGTAAAGGCTCGTGGTGGTTTGTGGGGACAGTACTATTGGTCCGGAGTAACTACCTCGGGTCCCATGGGGTCGGGGTGTTACAAGTGGTATCAGAGCAACCTTGCGACAGTGTGCTGATCCGTTGGATATCGGGCAGACACCTAGCAGGGGGAAAGTTTCTGGGATTTGATTGAGATTGGTTTAAGGGCGCAACGAGGACGTTGCGATCCTAAGTGGGGGTGATTGTAATACCCGAGATTAATATAAGAGGATTAATAGTACTACTCATACCAACAGAGGTGCATATCCTTTTAAGGGAGCTCATCACCCAAGAACTCCAAAGTTAAGCGTGCTTGCACGGGAGTAGTCTTGGGATGGGTGACCCCCTGGGAAATTTCTCAGGGCGCGCATGAGTGAGGACAAAGTGCGCGGTAAAGGCTCGTGGTGGTTTGTGGGGACAGTACTATTGGTCCGGAATAACTACCTCGGGTCCCATAGTACTGTCCCCACAAACCACCATGAGCCTTTACCGCGCACTTTGTGCTCACTCATGCGCGCCCTGAGAAATTTCCCAGTGGGTCACCCATCCCAAGACTACTCCCGTGCAAGCACGCTTAACTTTGGAGTTCTTGGGTGATGAGCTCCCTTAAAAGGATATGCACCTCTGTTGGTATGAGTAGTACTATTAATCCTCTTATATTAATCTCGGGTATTACAATCACCCCCACTTAGGATCGCAACGTCCTCGTTGCGCCCTTAAACCAATCTTAATCAAATCCCAGAAACTTTCCCCCTGCTATGTGGGGGTGATTGTAACACTTGAGATTTAATACCCGTAACACCCCGGCCCGTGGGACCCGAGGTAGTTACTCCGGACCAATAGTACTGTCCCCACAAACCGCCACTAGCCTTTTCCGCGCACTTTGTCCTCACTCGTGCGCGCCCTGAGAAACTTCCCAGGGGGTCACCCATCCCAAGACTACTCCCATGCAAGCACGCTTAACTTTGGAGTTCTTGGGTAATGAGCTCCCTTAAAAGGAGATGCATCTTGTTGGTATGAGTAGTACTATTAATCCGTTTATATTAAATCTCAAGTGTTACAATCACCCCCACTTAGGATCGCAACGTCCTCGTTGCGCCCTTAAACCAATCTCAATCACACCCCAGAATCTTTTCCCCTGCTAAGTGCCCGCCCGATATCCAACGGATCAACACACTGTCGCAGGGTTGCTCTGATACCACCTGTAACACCCCGGCCCCGTGGGACCCGAGGTAGTTACTCCGGACCAGTAGTACTGTACCCACAAACCGCCACTAGCCTTTTCCGCGCACTTTGTCCTCACTCGTGCGCGCCCTGAGAAACTTCCAGGGGGTCACCCATCCCAAGACTACTCCCATGCAAGCACGCTTAACTTTGGAGTTCTTGGGTAATTAGCTCCCTTAAAAGGAGATGCATCTTGTTGGTATGAGTAGTACTATTAATCCGTTTATATTAAATCTCAAGTGTTACACCCAAAAGCGCCGGAAAAATGCCGGAAGAGAGTCCGGAAAAGTGGAGTTCCGACCAACTACAAATCAGCCCCCAAAATTCGTCCCGAGCTGCTCAAAATTGATAAGGAGCGCCATTTCCTAGCAAACGAACTCCAATGTATTCTCAAAATGAAATAAAAAATCTCACATTTGAGTTAGGAGTAAAATTGATCTCCGGATGAATAATAGTGTTTCTTAACCTTGACGGTTATTCACCGAGAAAGAAAGAAGGGGGGACGGGAAAGAGAAAGAAAGATGGAGCTCAAGGTTGTTTGCAGGAGAGATGAAATGGTCGGAGGATTTTTGCAGGGGAAGAAGAAGACGTACGGGCTGGGAAAGGGGAAAAGGGAAATGGGGAAAGAGAAAAAAAGAAAGGAAAAGAAAAATGACGTGGTTGCCACTTGTGTATCGCGTCAGACCACATGTGTGTCACATGTGCGCCACGTCAGCAGGTAACCTCCTGACCGGTTGGTTACCTGCTAAAAGTTGATTTTGGCGAAAATTTCGAAGTAGGAGAACATAATTGACGAAACTTAAAATACGAGGGCTTAATTGACTTTCCGTACAGAGTACGAGGGCCAATTTGACACTTTTCTCTTTCAAAAATTATGTGGTTATGGATAGTAAGCTTAGTGTGTGCAGTGGTGACGATGGCACATTGAATAATAGTGAAACTATTATGAAAAGTGGAGCATTTAAAAAATTATAGTTGTGATAAGTAGAAAAAGATAGCCTAAACACATGTCACATGTGAGGAAGTCATCAGAAAAGATGAGTGATGCTAATGAGTAATGATGA